ATAGCATACATTATACGAAGTTATACGAACTTTTGCATAAAGCATAACGCATAAGCATAAGGAAATTGATTGGTCCATTTCCTTATGCATTTGCTTATGCTTATATATAGACCAATCAATTTCCTTATGCTTATGCGTTATGCTTTATGTAAAAGTCTGTGCTCCGGCCTAATGCATCAATCAATATCCAATAGAAATTTCTGGTAATATAAATTTAGTCAAATAAAAATTTAGAAAGTATTTTATTGTTAGATCTCTTTCAATTTCACATATTTCATGCATGTATCCTGTTTTATAGCGTAGAAAAGTAATATTTGTTTAAAAATTATTTAAAAAATTAGAGCAGTATTATTTTTCAAATATTTTTGTTATAATTCGAATTATATAAAATATGTAAGTATCGTAAAACAATATTTTTGTGCTTCTATCTGCATATTCACATATATCCATTGAATATATTATCGCATTCTGTGCGAAAGAACTATTAACCTCAACATTATCGATGCGTCAGCATACTTGGTCACTTAAAACATTTATTTGGGTGAAATCAGGTGGCTAATTAATCATCAGCGTGAGTAGAAAGCGAGAGGATGGGGGTGAAAAGGAAGAACCGATGGAGAGAGAGTGAGTAAGAATGAGAGTGAGAGTGTGATGAAGGGGAAAGAGGGGGAGAAAAGAGAGAGAGATCGCGGGATCTTTGTTACGAGTTGAACCGAATCCCAATGTACTTGGCGCGAAACTCCGTCCGATCGGTTGCTATCAGCGAAGGGCGACGATTAACGAAGCAAGAGAAGGACGAGGAGGGCGCGCGTGATCAACTTGGTGCTGTCGCGCGCACTCGAGCGCAGCGCTGACGGCACGTAAACGCGTTGCCGCCGCGACTAATAATCAAGGAGTTGATTTTCCGAGCGTGATTTGTACGTCGAGGTAGGTTCGCGATCCGGAGGTGCAAAAGGGTCGTGCGTACGTATATAAAGTTGGTGCGTGCGTGCGCAACACAAGGCCGAGTCGGCTTTTCTCGTGTCCGTCCGAGCTCGGGTAATTCGTACTTGGGCGAGCCGTGCGCGAGAGAAAGAGGGAAAAATAGAGTAGTCGGAGGGAGGGTAGAGAGCGTGGAAGGGAAGCGCGAGAGGGAGCGAGATAGACACGCTTGTGGCGCGTTCGCGAGAGAGCGCACGCAACGTTGCTCGGTTCCGCAGAGAGGAAGCGACCGAAGTACGGAGCGAACGGACGGACGGGACGAGACGCATCGCCGCCACCGTTGTCGCTCGTTGTGCGTTGTCGAAGTCGATTCGCAGATCCGGAGGGGAGTGTGTGGAGTCTCTCGCCGCGTCCTCGTTCGTTCCCGCCTGACGCATCGGGGTGTACATCGGGGTTGCTGCCGCCGCTATTGCTGATTCTTCTTGCTGAGGAATGTCAGCAGAAACGAAGCTGCGAGCAGACCACCTGCCGGAAAGCATGGAGATATCGAAGAGCCTGCAGGAGGAGATCTTCTCCGTGCAAAACAAACTGCAGAACGCGATACTCGAGCATCAGGTGAGAAAAAGAGAGTGCGATGTGCTGCTGCGTCCATGTGTGTATGCGCGCGTGTGTCGATAGCGATCGAGAGACGGAATGTAGAAGGTTAAGAGGGGGAGGGAAGGCACGGTGGAAGAGTACGCAAGGCCCTTTGCGGTACGATATTCTTAGATTGATTGTGAAAACCATTTTTTTCCCCACCAAAGATTTGCATTCATTCACGAAGGGCCGGCCCATCCGTTTCTCCGATTGGTGCGATAGATCGATCGTTCGAGACAACTCGAACGATAGATCCGCCAGCGTCTTTTGCGGATAATTTAAGCGCGCGCGCACGCGGCCAACTCGTCGCGAATAGTTTGGGAATTGCATGTATATACGACGCGGCGCGAAGGGCTGCGTGCAAAAAGCGATTCTGTAAGTTTCACTTATGGCTAAGTGCATCTATTCTCTTTTAGCACGGCGTGGGGAGCTCCGTACGCCCTCTTTCTCTCTTCCTCCGTTTCTCCGTCCGACTCTTTCTCTCGCTCTTCGTGCATCTTACGCGCGCGTCGCCAGCTCGACGGAATCACTTCGAGTCGAAACATTTATCGACAATGCCGCGGAATCGCGTTAACAGCGTTTTGCGAGCGAATCAATCGCCGGCTCGTCATCGAAAACTTGTTGATCGTCCCGCTTATCCGACGGAAAAAATCGATGTTGAAAGTCGTATTCTTTCTCTTACGTTGTGCGCTACGTGCACGCCTCCATCTTTTCGAACAAATATATCGATACCACTGAAAACTCTTTGTAAGTACTTGTAGCTCACGCGTATCAGTTCGCGGATGTCGTTTCGCGCGATGATATTTAACATGATTAGAAGCGAATCGGTAGTCGGCGTTCCAACACAAATTTCTCAAAATTAATTCTCTATCATCGTGCTCATTAACGTCCGCGTCATAAAGTTTCTGCATTCCATTAAATAGCTACTTTAAATCCCTGAGCGACGTCCTCGGCGGACAATCGATATTTCCTGCATTATCCGACAAGTTTTTAATCATTTTCCACGATGTCAAGAAGAGTTTTCCCAGTGATGCAACGTAGATGATGCATTTTTTACGTGTTAAAACTAGCGATGATCCTTAATGTCACGAAGTATCAATGTTTTCGAACGAATATCAACAAATCTTACATCGTTTCTCTTCGTTTTTTTTTTATATTATAACTTTCTCCACTCGTATTGAAAAAACTGTAGAGATAAAATTATTGTATAAACTTCGGAATATACATTGAAAGGAAATAATGACCGTGTTGCGGTTTCGTAATCATGGAACGTGATTTATATAATCGAAGTTCGCTTATTTTATTGAAGGAGGGCAAGGTGTAGTCGATACTTGTGCCCGGGAAGCTTTTCGAGTCGTCGAGTCACGGTTGATTTACTTTTACTGCGAAAACGTTGACGAGGTCGTTCTCTTCTACTTTTACGCGCATGCCTGCTCCCTCGTTCAGCTTTGATTAGACCTTTATTCATCCAGGATCAGTGGCGAATTAAATCCCGCCAACTTACCTACAAAATTGGCAAATTGCTTATTAGTAACTATGTCATGATAAAAAAAACCCTATTCAGTTTTTCTTTTGTGCACGAGAAATGAGCGCAATTTTCACAAAGTTATTTTTGTAATTGTATTCTCTATAAAATTATAATCAATATTATTACACTATATTTAATATCACATGCAATTAATTACAAATATGCTTCTACAAATACTTATTTTGTTATACTAACCGGTTATATAATGTATAAGTTTTAAATACTTAAATCGCATTGTAATAATTGCCTTTTGCAACCCTCAACAAAGAAAGTGAAATATGAATTGCGATAAGTTAATGGAATATTAAAGACAAAATTCTAATTTGCATCTTTACTAATTAATAAACGTATTAATGGAGCTAAACGCGTAATGGCGTAACGGCGCATCGCGCTTCAGTTGCTTCAGTAGCTTAAGTCTTCACAGATATGCTAAATTATTTACTTTACTTCGTTTTACATTATATTGCATAACTCTCTCTCTGTAAAATTCTGTAAAACGCGCCGCTTTTCCTCATCAATATTAATCACACTTTTTAATTAAATTACAGATAAATGTGAGAAGGCTGAAAGAGGATCCAAATGTGAGTATTATTATTATATTACTAATTATTATTATTTGTATTATTATAATTCTTTTTTTTTTCTCTCGTTGATTTTATAAAACATAAATATGTACGAGTTGTGTTGAATATAATAATTTCGGTACTGAGGATAATTATTATCGTAAATAATAAAATGCATTTAAATATATCACTAATTGAATAATCAATTGATTTACAAATTCATATTTTTAATTTGATTGTAAAATGATATTATTTTTGTGAATTTCACCTTTTTAAAATAATAATAATTTAAAAGAGGAGAATTACTTTATTGTTTTTAGAGTGTTTTATCTCTTTTTTTTTACCTCATTCATGTAATTTACAATTCTCTTTAATATTTAGTTTGGAAAAATTATAAAGGTTCGAAATACTTCTTTTTTTATCTATAGATAGATATTATAGTATATTTGACTTTATCTTTCATACCTCTTTTCTTTATCTTATTCGTTTCGAATTGGAGCAGCTTTACTCGTTTTTCCTTTTTACCATCTTTCTTTCTCGTGCAATATATCTTTCCCTTATAAATTACTTTATAGGACCAATAAAGTCACTTGTATCATATGCTTGCCGTTCCAGGTAGATATTCCGGAATATTTTATCCACAATATCTTTTATTCCTCGATTTAATGCTCTTATCATTCTTGCGAATACATTGCGTATCACTATAACAAATAATAAAAATAAGAAATCAGATGTGAATTCAAGGAGCAATTAGTCTTAATCGACAGATTAAGATTTGTTTTATTAAAAGACTAAAAGAAAAAACTGGATCTACAAGAATATTCTCTCACGAACAGACTTGTTTACAGTACTTTAGTGCAAAATCTTACCTGAAATAAATAGAGAAACAGGTAATTCTAGTTTTTTTCTGAAATCTCATAATGCGATTCCACTTTTCTCAAAATAACTATATCCCGTGTCTGTTCTTTGTTTTGAGTTCGACGGAGTATTATTTTATAAACTTCTACGAATATCCTATCGATCCTGAATTATCCTCGCCGACCTGCCGCTCTCTGTGCACGTGGATTCTCGTGATCGCATTCTTTATCATCGTTTGCACCGAACGCTGAACTTCTGCAAAGAAAATCAGATTATTATAAGTTTTACTTGACAAAATTTCTCACTTCCGACTCTTCATAAATCGTTTCTCAATTATTTTAAACGAATGGTAGAAACACACATTTCCAGTCGCAAACTTTATGATACTGAGAGGGAAAAGAAATCAGGTCTCAACACGAGCAATGCACGTGTTATTTAACAGTTAATGCGATGAATTTACTCGGTATAACTTATTTTGAATCTTGCGACGCGCAGAGATTCAGAGAATACATAATCGATACAACGAAACTTCGCAGGAGTTGCGTGGAGCACGTTTTTGGAATTTCGTAAACCGTAAAATAAACTTCGGCCGATGTTCATCTCGCGCAAACTAGGATACATACATGAGAGGGAACTTTTCTGCTCAGACTGTTTACGTGTTTAAAACCGGCTCGGGATACGATCAATACATCAAATTCCGGCAATTGTTATAAAACAATTCACTTATAATTTTATTATGTGAAATCGATTTCTTATTAATAATTCTTCATTATATTTGCAATTATATTCGTTTGCCCGACAAATTATATGCATTTATATTCGTTGTTTCGCACTATTAACGGGACGCATACGAGCGCGTAGCGACTTTGTTGCATTGCATAATTTGTTCCACATAACTTTCCACATAAAATCCCAAAGGTACAATTGTCCACAAGTTGTTCTAATTTTAGTAGCTTCTGTTTAAGCCTGTTCTCGGTGTAACCATGGTGCGTCTTGTTGCAGAACCCAGACATCCTCGGTCAGATACAAAATATTCAGGTATACATCGTTTCATTGGGAAGATGCCAGGTAAGAGGACAATTGATTTTCTTCCATTGCATGCGTGGCAACTCGCGATATATCTATATCATCTTTTCTCAACTTCTCATTGTGTGAAACCTTGAAACCCCGCAATTTCGCGAACTTCTTTATGAGTCATTTGTGCGCTTTGAAAATCGATTTGAAAGTCGAGATTTCTGCCTGTAATCGTTAGTTAGAGAAAATTCTGCTTTGAAAATCAAAACGATAACTTTTTTTTTTAAATTGCACAAAACAGCGGAATCGCACTTTTGTACAAGTTGCAGTATTGACGAAAGTTTTGTTATTGATTCAAAGTGTTATCCGCCGCACAGAAAAAAACTTTGGCATACCTTGTCCAACTTTTACGAAGCACGAATCTTATCCGTGCCGCAATTATGATATCATTCGCGTGGCGGAATACATTCCGCATAAATGTATTGATCGAATGATACTGCGCTGAGTTACAAAAGCTCGAATGAGAAAGAAAGAAACAAAGCGAACTTCAACTTGCGCTTTACAACATTCCCAATCCCGTTGCCCTTATTATTCTAAGATTAAACGAGCACAATGATTTACCGGCCTTGTAGCTGCACTCGCGCTCGTCCCTTTTTAACGTGCCTCCAATGCGACGGTCTTTTCCTTCGATCGGCGACGCCGTTGATAACGGTCGAGATAAATAGTTGGGACGCAATGGACGGGGACAGACGGATAATACGTAGAGAGGCTGCGATAGTAGAAAAGAGCGAGATGTGAGCGTCGGGTATGAGCGGCCGTGCGGGAGTGAGGCGACAATTCAGAAAGAAGGAGTGAGAGCAGAACTTGGAGCGGAGGAGAAGCCGGGAGACAGAGACGGAGAGGTTTAAAATCAATAAAATGTCCTGCGGAAACGTTTTCGGCTCTTTATAAAATCTCGCCGCGTCTTCTCCAATCGTTTACACTGTTTCCCCAACTTTCCCTCACGCCGTCGAAACTTGCCGCGACGTTTATTTATTCTTAATTCCGTCTTTTCCCCCCCAACAATTATTCGTGTTTCTCGCGTCACTTCCGAACTAATAGAAACTTTCCTGCGTTACGCCTCAGCCTTAGAAACATGGGGCAGATGCGCGATCGCTTTCGCAACCGCGTAACCGTGCATCAATATTCGATTTGATTATATCATCATGTGCATGTGTGCCTCGTCCTACATGTATATTTATGTTACAAAATTGTTGTGACGATGGTTCGATTATTGCGCGCATACGTCTGCTGCGACACATTGAATAAACCTCATTTACTGCCACGAGCTTGTAACGCGCCTAGTTTACTACTTGTATAAGCTGTTTCTAAAGATTTTTTTAGAAATTGCCGATAGCTATAAACAATACGCTATAATGTGCTATATATATACATGTCTCTCGTTGTTTATACGCAGAAGCAAATTGTGCAGCGACTGCGCAGAGAGGTGGAAGCGTCCAAGGCGGAGAACGCGAACGGATCAAAAGTTTCCATACCGTCTCTTCTGGGCCTGAATAACAATAATCACATTACAAACAACAATGAGACGAAGCATGAGACTGCCGCCAATGGCTTCGAGACGAAATCTTCGAAAGAGGATTACGAAGAAATTGTTAGAAACGGCGATGTCCATCATTCACCGCCGCAAGATAACAATTGCCCGAAGTAAGCTTGTGCATTGAACGCCACAGTGAACTGATTCGACATTATTTTATTTCATATTGAAATTTGCTCATTATTGAAATGTTTTGCAGCAAAAATCTTGGAGTTTTTTCAATTGAAAGTTTCTTTACAGACGGCGCCCTAGCTCGGTGGAGACCATCTCTGGCGAAGACGACATCGTCGAGATGTCGATGGACGAAAACTCCAACGAGAAGGAAGAGATGCAACAAGAAGCAAGCCAAGTACAAGAAGATTCAAGCGAGATGCAGCAAGAAGCAAGCCAGATGCAAAAAAAGTCTAGCATCATCGAATCACCGGAACAGCAGAATTTTCTGTATACCATAGGGCTCATTACTAAGTCTAAATGCATAGAGCTTCAGAACAAAAGAGTAGAAAGAAAGCGTCGTAGCACGGCGAACCCGCATTTTGTATACTCCATGCTTGAACAACCATCTGTAAGTGTATATCGATGTTTCTATTATTATATAAGTACTTATTTTCGCACGTAGATAGCATAGCTTTTTTACAAAGATAACACGCACAACAGCGTTTTATATTTTCAAAGTGTGAATTTAAGCGGTTTAAAAACAAGCCCCTTAATATATTCAACATCTTATCGGGAATACTGAATAATTAATATTTTTGAACAATTTTAGAAACGGAAGAGACATTCATACTTGCAATCCGGAAACGCGCCTCACACTCGGCAGACGACCGCTCGTATGAACGGTCCATCGCCGCCACCTAACAAAACTCAACCGACTAAGTCCATTTCTCCACCGACTCAAACGATAACGAAGGCGCTGATCCCATTTCAAAAGTCTAGTACTAGGCCAAATATTCTGAGAAACGCGGACAGTAGAATTTTCGGGAAAAGTAAGATCGAAGACAGCCAAGCGCGATCGTCCGCATCTAGTGCCAAATCCGTTCAATCGATAGGCAACAAGGCTGTCCATATACCCGGATTACCGGCTAGCTTGACCATCGAAAGGATCGGAAGTGATTCAATCGTGTGCGTTAGTTGTAGAAACCCAGGTCAGTGAAAGTTATCAACGAGCATATTGTTACTTTTTCTAACAATTTGTTTCAAAAGCAAAAAATTGGTTGTCCGCAAATGCCTAATGATTCTCCGTTTTCCACAGGCTCATTAACGATATGTAAAAATTGCTCAAGTAACTATCACGTTTCCTGTCACATTCAATCACCAGCTCCACCCAGAATATGTCCCAAATGTGCAATGGATGAGGAGGAAGACATCGAAAAGGACGAAGAAATGGAGATTAAGGGCCAAATGGAAGGAGAGAATAAACTGCATCGTTACAAAAAGAACGAAAAACTCGGTAAATCGTCTTCGGTTTCTTGAAAGAGGAAATTCTCTTTCTATAATAACGCTAAGCGTGTGATTGACAAAAAAGTTCTTAATCAAGTTTCTACAATCATAGTTATGGAATATTCGTAGTAGGCTTATCTCATTTCGCGGCAGCAACTTGGCCGGGAATCATTGAAAATGTTCTGATTGGGAGAAAAACCGGCAATTTCTTGCTGCCTTCTCAGATTGATGGATTTGTATAGTAATAATAAAGCAATACAAAAACTTGGTCGCAATAAAGCCACAAAAGACCGGTAAACCGGCGCAAGCGCATTATTCTAAATAAGCACAGGAGCTTGTATAACATGAGTCCATAACTTCTAGATTTAACATACAACGAGGTATCGCAGCGTTGCCGCAGACTTAATTGAGCATAAGCACGCACGCACTGAATAAACGAGAGAGGCAGCCTGCCGGAAGAAGTGTCCGCGTGTGAGACCGGCTTCTCGAATACGGCCGAAGAATTTGCAATTAAGAAGAACTTTTTGGTCGATCGTCCACGATAGGGCACAAAAAAAACAACCCGTGTATTGAACGCAAAATATCTTGCAGAGGAGAAAGAGAGAGAAAGATATGAGCTGCGCGAGCGAAACTCGGATCTGAGATTGCAGGTTTACGAGTTGGAAAAACGCTCACAACTACTCGGCCAGTCACTCCAGGTTCGTCCTGTGGCCTGCCTAGAGACGAATTACAAAGTTCATTTTTATTTGGAATGCTCTTGAGTTGATCAAATTATAAATTGCTAATAGTTTTTTTCCTTTTGATTTTTTCGTCCAAAGGAACCTGCAAGATCTCTGCGTTTTCATTGTTAGCTTTTTTTTGTTTGTATGATGCTTCATGAAGACTGATCGATTCTAAGATCGATAAATATATAAAATAACCTTTTACAAATAATCTCTCAATGTGTACATAATATAATTTTTTTTATTATATTAAAATACATATTTTATATTTCTTGAATGTACTAAAATTTAATGGAGAATCTATCATGTCTTCAACATTTTTTTGCTAATTATTTTCGTATATGTATGAGTTAAGTTTGTTTTTCTGGTCGTTGATCTTGATTTCATTGATGGTTTATAGAGATGTGACTTTGTAGGAATATAGAATGCATGATTATTCAAATAATTTCCGCTTTATTATTAATATTGTTGAAAAAACATGCGGAAATTTTATACTGTATTCTATACTGATTTTTGAATCATGATAGAATATTGTATATTTTAAAACATTCAATGATCAGATATATGCATATATTATTGATCGATACAAAATTTTCCAAAAATTTCAATTTTATGTATACTCTTTTAAGAAAAAAATGTTTCTATATATCGCATATATTTATCATTTATAAATGAAATATTTATCTCATCTGCTGCGGTGGAGTTAGTTACTTTTGTATGCTGTAACAAAATGCTTAACTTCTATCAATTTTGACATACTATTCTTTTTCACGGGTTTAAATGTGTAAATATATATTATAAATTAACGTATATTCTAAATTTCCATAAATCGATAAATGAAAAATGCATGATTTTAAAAATTTATATTTTTAGCTCTTCATACATGCGAAAATTTTTGGCAAACCACTATAATCACAGTAATTCTTTGTACATAGAACCATATGGTAAAAAATTACTAATTATAAGCCACTCTTGTAAAATAAGAAAACATATGCAACTAAAAGGAAAAATTGAAAGAAAACAATTGCATATGTCAGTAGATGTAAGAATTAAAAACTTATTCTGCATACAAAGCAGAATATACTAGAAGCATCTTCCTTGAGAAAATATTTAACACAAATTTTTTTCTCAATAGTTGCAACAGCGTATGCGTCAGGAATTGTTGGGAAAGCAAGAGAAGACTCAGAAGTCTATAAAACGGTTGGTGGACTTCATAAAGCTGATACAACTCAGAAAAAACGCACCCTCTCCACCGTCCCAATCGGCATCAATCAGCTGTCCGCCTCAACCATCCTCATCCCACTCACCTCCACTTCCGTCGACAAGTCAGAAGACGACAAATTTACCTCGATCGCCAATACCGAACAACGACAAGACACCGTACCTCGCAACCCTCACAACCTCAAGCAGCACGCACGATCGGGCATCACCGACGTCCAAGTCGAAAATCAGATGTCCCACTCCTACCAGTTGCCCAGTAGCACCACCGTCCAACCAGAAAAGCATCAATCATATCTCATCGTCAAGAAGGTCACCGAGTCGACCGGAAGGCACGATAAGTCTGCTGACGGTGAAGCCGAAGACAAAAGCTGTTCCAAAGTTTACAACTATCAACTGCCGACCGGTTGCACCGCTACCCTTACATCCCACTTCGCCACCAACTCCCTGTTCTACGATCGTAACGTCCGTAAGAAGCAAATCAAGCGCACAATCCCACTCCACCGTATCACCGTATCAAAACTGTCAAATTCTCTTCTCCCCAAACCGAACGACTATCAACTGGACCGAGCGACCCTCAACGGCAGAAAGCCCTGGGCCAAACTCACACGTGGCAAACTCTGCGTCAACCAGCCAGCAACCAGACCTGCTACAGAAATCTTATTGTCTTCCTACAGCGACGCTGAAAGCAGCGGTAACGAGCAGCTGCAGTACCGACCGAAGTCAATTGGATCGGCGGAGGAGTCAAGAGCAGCAGCGAGCTTCGATGGTCGTGGTAAGCTCACGCCAAGAGCCGGCACCCTCATCCACTCACTGTTCCCAGGCCATAACAAGCCCTATACCATCACCAGTCGTGCACGCGAGCCACGAGGCTTCGGCCCAAACGACCGAGACTATCCGCTCCTGCGACAGCATCTCTGCGGCGGGGAGTACGAGCTGGTGCCGCACGAACAGTCAGACGGCGGCAAGCCAGAAGCCCAGTTCCAGCGACGCGCCCTCACCAAGTTCTTCGAGCACGTGAAATTGGAAGAAGCGCATTTACCAGCGCCATTTAGAACAAAGCTAGCACACCAGGACGAGGTCGACGACAACGACGAAATTGTTGTCCAGAAGGGCGAGCGTGACCAACGGTACGATGATGCTGGTGCCGTTACTGAAGCTCCACTGTTAACCACGTCGTGCGACGCGAACCGGGACCGTCCGGCCGACCGCTTTCCTTGGATAGTGCACGACACGGTTTCGAGAAGCTCTAGCGAAGACAACAACGCTGCAGACAGATCGCTCCTTCATGCCTCGGACGTGGCCTCGACGCACTCCGACGACCTCACCGACTACGAATTTGCTCGCGTTAACGCACAATCGTCACGTATGATGACTTCTCGGCAATCGATGGAGTGCGAGAACGATCAACCGGCAACCAGTGTCTCCATAAAGCAGCGGAAAGACGACGGAGCGCCGGTGGCGACGTTGCACATCGCACAAAGCAATCTTTCGGAGCTTCGTAATGAGGTCTCAGTTCCTGACGATAAGGCTGACACCGAGAGACAAGACTTACCCAGTGGTAGGCGATCGAGAAGCAGAAGTAACAGCAGCGGCAGCAGCGGCAGCAGCGGCAGCGGCCACAGCGACACCCCGGAGCAAGCGATGAGCAATACGAATAATTTCACGGACGACTTTGAAATTCTGGCCATGGGTATCGTTTCTCCGAGGGAAAAAGAAGAGGAGCACGAGTTAGCAATGGCGCGCGAGATTGATGTTGCAGCGACGCCGCCACTGGCTAGACATAGTTAGGCTAGACGACGTTAACGTTGCCGATCGTGCTCATCGTTAACGCTTTGCTCGCTCCGAAACTCGCAGTATCTCGATGACACGTTCGTCTTTTTTTTTTCTGCGTATCGCGCGTCAATCGATTGCGCTAGAATTAATAGCAATTGTCAGTATACGATCGCGTTGTACCCTATATATATATTTTACAACGACAACAGCGACATCCTGGACATTTTTATGCCGGTTGTCGATACGATCACATACCGCATCTTTTCCACCGCACCGTGGCCTACGACGTGAAAATGTTCTTGCTACAACTTTGCATTAGTCGTTCGATCTCTTCGTTGATTTTCTTTAAAAACTTGTTCGATAATTTCGCAATTGAAAATATTAGAAATACAGACTAGACGTTTCTTTTCGCAAAACTATATTTTTTTTTTTATATATTTCTGCATATTTGTTGAAAGTTTGATAAAGAGGAATATCCTATTGCTAAATATTTAATTTTTCACACATTGTGAAAATGAAATGTGGTGAACATCAGTTATATTGTCGATTATGTGACGTTACTGAATCTAGAAATATGATCTATTTCGTGAATTAGCGAAGATAATGAGACAAAAGAGAATTTGTTTTCTCGATATCCCATATGTATATCTATACATATATATATATATATATATCCCTGCGATATTTGTGATCCTGCGACTAGAGAAACGAGCACATATCTGAGATGTCGCACAGTTACGTCACAGTTACAGAGTGACCACGGGAGGAAGCCTAACTTCTACGTAAATCAAGTCACATTACCATACTGCCTTAATAGTAAAGTAAAAGTGGTACTTTTATAAAGAAAAAAAGAATCGGCAATCTCCCCGATAAATGCGAATCGCGGTGCAATTGAATGATCGGCGATTGGAGATGACGGTGAAACAATACGATTAATCAAATTCTCGTTACCATAATCGAAAGCGTAGATATTAAGAGCCATCGTTTGTAAGTTCCGTAAAGCGACACGATGAAACGGGTCATCCTGTTTCTCACGAAAGTTGCATCCTTTCCGAAGGTAATGTTGTGACAAAAAGAGAGAGAGAGAGAGTGTGTATGTGTGTGTGTGTGTGTGTATGTAGGCGTGTGTGTAAGCGAATATCGTATTCCGTTAGGACGTATGCGAACTTTGACGATGTTTCGTTGATTTTACTTTGTTTTTCGCCCGAATAAGATAGAGCTGTGATCTTCTGCAGCATTTTCCTTCAAGCGGGACCGAAAAATAATTGTTCAAAAATTAGAATTACTTTGCTATGAAATGTCGACAAGATTACTATTATGACTGTCTAAAATTGAGTTACACAAGCCAATTGATCTATTTATTTCGTGTTATATAATGTTGGTTTTTGAGCATTATCACGCTGGCTTGCCCAACATTTATATTTAACTGCTGTATAAAACTAAGGAAACAATTGTTATGCAATGTAGGCAACGAGATATTGAGATCGAAATTCGTATTTTTTATGGAATAAAAAACCACTTAAGCAGCATTATGTGGATCTAATTTACAATTAACATCCGAATGTTCACAATCCCTCCCGCATTTCGCGCGAATTACGTTTTCATACAGATTATACAGCTTACATTTTGTTATTTTCAATTGCTTTTTTGGTTGATTTCTCGCCGCGAGATTTAGCTGAAAAATTTTATACACAACTGGACGAACGCGCGCTCCTGGAGCAATGTTTCGTCCAGTCGCAGATGGATTCTCGTTGAAAAATGACTAAACTGCGGTGACGCGAGGGAGAGCGGCGGAGTTACCGACTTGGACAAACAATCGGCTAATGACATGTAAATATGGCAGAGCTAATCAAGCGGCTGTGCCAACAGGCCGCGGGAAGAGACGCCGGTGCGGGTGCTGCGCCCCGTTCGCGCGCGCGAGAGAGAGAGTATTCGATACTCCCGATATATTTGCGCCCGACCTGCGCACATGCATCGCGCTGTAGCAACGCGGCGCGTACATATTTAATGGTTGCACGTTAATTGCGCTCTGTTTGCCCATTCCCTATTCTACGCTCCATCTACACGTCCACCTACATTCTCTTCACCCTTTCCGTGCCGCAATTCTCCTTTGTTAGCGTGCGCCGCGCGGTTCGATTTTAATCAATTCACCTCGAGCACCTAGTTGGTTTACGCTCGAAATCCCACGGAAACCTACTTTCGCGCATCATATTGAATGCACTCATTTCCGCATTTACCATAACAAATTCCGCGCCTTCCTAACGTTAGTTTTGCAATCGGGAATGCGGTTGTGCATTTTCGGCGGTGGAAACAGCGATGAGAAATGCGGGTTCAAATGTAGAGAAGAAATTCTCATTCGCACTTGGCGTGAAAAATAGGAACGCGAATTAATTAAAGTTCAAAGGTTGCAGAAAATAATAACCTCCATTAACAATTTATAAGCCTTTTTTCCATATCGCTCGTTAAACTTTTTCTCTACAACTTAATCTTTCGCGGTTATAAATAATTTCGACGGATAAGTCGATATCAAGCACATTGTTTATATTTTCATGTTATCAAAAGCTGCTTAATCGTCGATTCTTTATCTAAAAAAATGTTATAAAGAGATTTCAGAATAGTCTACCAATAATTTTCAAAATTTAGAAATTATTACGCCAAGTCCGCCCTAACGTAGAAACGCAAAAGTTAACACGTTGAAAGTTCTTTGTCTTGACTTACGTCATAAAAGAGGTGAATAAATAATAACTTTTGTGTCAATACACGAAGGAAAAGGGAGAGATTCTTATCTAAATATAGATAATTAAAGAACTTTGAACTCTATTTCCCTCTTTTTACATTTCCCTTTTTCTCTTTATTTTCAAAGCGTCGACGTATACTTGTTTTACGTAAAATGAGCTAATTAAAAAATTCTCGCTAATATATGTCCCACTTTTCTTTTTTTTTCTGCACTAGAAAAAAGAAGAAACAAACTCCGCGCTTTGCACATTCCTTTCATGTACAATAGTATATTTTATTCTCGTTGCAGTGGGCCAAGAGAATGATACATTGCCACTTCAATCAATTTAATTTCCATATCGTAAATAGACAAAAAAAAAAAAACTCTACGACTAGCATCTGTTGTCACAAGCAAAAGTCATTTTCGCATATTGACACTAGTTGATAGCATCGAAATACGAAGATTCAGAAAGATTAGACTAAAGCATCAAATAACATTTATCGCGAAAACAATCGCCCGTAAAATTCTCGCCGCACTCGGCTGCAACGGCTCAATCACGGCTCTTTACAATCGCAAAAGTTGGGCGGGCGTCAAATTTTTTGGAGATTGTGTGCTCGTTACATGCTTCGATGGGATCCCGGCGTTAATTATCCGTTAAGCGGGTCGAAGCGCGCGTCGTTGTTCCGCAGAAGCCCGCATGGAGGTTGACGAGCATCCCTCGGATCGAGAAGCGCACGCCGAGAGACACAAACGAACGCTGTGCAGGATAGGGTAGGTGGCGGGGGCTCCAAAGAAATTTTAATCAAGCCGCACCGCGTGTGGGTGGGTGCGTTTGTCGCGTGCGCGCGCGTATGTGTATGTGTGTGTGTGTGTGTGTATGCGTTTGCTTGTGTACGCGAGCATGCGAGCGCGCGCTCGCCTCCAGTTCCGCGGTAAATTACACATACGGGTTCCATTACCGGACCTCGTTACTTTGGAATCGAAAGCCTCGGCATCTCTCCCGGCCACCGATGCTTCCTGGCTACGAGGAATCGATATCTTCCCAATAGCGGAGACTATCAAGCATCGTTTAGCGACGCTCGTCGTTTTGGCGAATAACACGAGTGAAAGTTACGGGCGGCATTGTCTGTTCTGCGAACTGCGCATAAATTTATATAACGGCGAATCTTATTAATTAACGATTAGTTGCAAGGATGCTGGGAAGATTGTCTCTTTATCTAAAATAAATTCGAATTAAAAATATTTACTTGGATTTAATAGCGGCGCGGCGCGAAATAACGTTCGCTCGAGAAGCTTAAAGCTCGCCCGGAAAAGAAAAGCGAGAACGACGTGAGAAAACGAAGGGAGAGACAGCTCCCTACATCCTTTACAATCCTTTAACGATGACACATTACTTCCGAGCCTTCCCAATGGTCGCAATTCCGGCTACGTTACTGTCACTTAGCGAGCGGAGTCGCGAATCTGTCTTGAAGGAGACCGGCAGGTAATCTTCTCTTGAGGTTCACTCCAAAAGACAGAGTCTTTTTGCCTCATGGAGGCTCGATATTTAACTTTGCATTTATTACACCTCGATATTTTATCCGAACCATCCGAAACATTCTCATTATTATTAGGAAAAACAAGCGTGTATAACGCTCAATAATTGATTTATTTATTTTATGCGCCGAAGTATTCCTGTTGCAACGTATAGAAAATAAAATAACTCATGCATGCGCAATAATTATCTTCCGAGAGAAATAATTGTATCTCGCAGCAGTTTTCTTTCATGCGCTGCCGTCCGTCTTCTTAGCATTACAATGTACAGAATCTTGAAAAATTGTATAAACTACGCAGATTATTCCCTTTTCATGTTTTTTTAAGCTTCGTGATTTTAATATCGTGAATGATTTAAACTTATTAAATTAAAATATCGCTTAAATAAATCTCATTTAAAATTAGATTAATTTGCGAAAAACCCTTTCAATGAATTACAAATTAAAAAGAAACTTTTTATTGTCCGACTCAATTTTCGAGATTCACGTGCGCGGGAAACTTTTTCCTCCTTTTTTGAATTCGCAGCACACTCCCAAAGTTATTGTATACGTACACTTTTTTAACATCCTACGCGGGGCGGAGAGTTCTTCAAAAATAGTGCTCTCGTACCTCGCGCGCAGCCATTGCAAATTGCGAGCAATAGCCGAGGTGAGAGCATACCTGCAACGTCTCGAAGTCATTTGCGAAGTTTTTCTGGAGACAGTCGTGCGGCTGTGCGGGGCTTGCGGGAAGGATAAGAGCGACCAGAAGATAAGGGTGTGGGCGAAGATACGGGGAGTCCTTACTGGTGTTGCCGTCGTCGTCGTAGTCGTCGTCCTCCTCCTCTCTTTCTACACCGTTTCCTTCTCGGTGCAGGCAAGTGCGACCGATGAGACGTCCGGAGGACTGGCGAACGGTTAGTTAAGGAACACGAGAAAGCACTTCTGGATCACTCTCGGCGCTCGCGTCCCTTCCTCCGCGAGCGCCGTCTCGGATGCGGAGATACGATCGACTCTCTCCCCATAGATATCATCTCGTGCATATAATACGTCAATTTCGCGCACCCGACGTGCCGCCGTGACACGCGCGGCAAAGGATCTACTTTTCTTATTATTTTGTTAACCTTGCACAAGCAAAGTGTCCAGCACTTTCCGCTCTGCGACGGACGAAAGTGTTTTCTCCTATTCTCATTTTCGATAATACAATGCGATGTGAGCCGCATTGCTTCGAACAACCAATCAATATTACTCGAAATTATCTCAGATATCGTCGCAACTCTTGCGATATAATTTTCAAAGGTTTATCTCCTCCGACGGCTATCACGGGGGCGTCGTGACAGCGCCGTCGCGGTACACGGGAGATAAATAGTAAGGAATGATTCTCCGAAGGATTTTTTTCAAAGGGACTCTGGGCGGGAAGGGGGGGAGGGGGGGGGGTCCTCCATTTCATTCTTTTTCGTTCTGCCGGCGGATTTTTCCGCGCGCCTTTTTCGCGCGAAACCGAACTCAGAAGCGATGCATCATAATCAGGCGGTCAACTTACTTAGTCCGGAGTGCTGCGCGCTTAAGTTAATTAGCTAATTACTAATTTTAATCGGATGACGTATGCGCATCTCGGGGGATACAAGCAAACCCTCTTAGCTGGGGGATAGCTCACCTCCCCCTAACTCCTCGCACACTCTCACACAAACGCGCACACGTACACATGGCCCATTGCACCGTTGCTCTCTCTCTCTCTCTCTCTCTCTCTCTCTCTCTCTCTCTCTCTCTCTCTCTCTCTCTCTCTCTCTCTCTCTCTCTCTCTCTCTCTCTCTCTCTCTCTCTCTCTCTCTCTCTCTCTCTCTCTCTCTCTCTCTCTCTCTCTCTCTCTCTCTCTTCTCTCTCTCTCTCTCTCTCCCCTCTCGTTTTGACTTCGCTATCCCCTGTCGTATACGTCCGACGGGGCAATCCCGCGGTCTAAGTAATTTAACTAAAACTTCTCGGACATTTTTCCACCATTTTCGACCGTCCGGGTTTTCTCTCTCTCTCTCTCTCTCTCCCTTTCTCTTTCTCCTTTTCCCTCCTCTTTCGCCTCAACGTGACCGTTCATTCGCAAGCGCGCAATTTCTCAGTTTTTGTTGACCGGACGTATGAAAGCGTTTCAGCGCGGCCGCGTATGAGAGGCGTGTAAAAATAAGAACGGTTGCGTTTCCCGGAAAAGCGCAGTAATTATATCACGCTTAAACGACGAAAGAACGGAACTCTCGAAATAAAACGTCCCACGGAAATCAGAGAGTGTTGTATTTTACTTTTTACGCCGGTG